TGATAGTAAACTCAACTTACTCGCCTAAACTCTCCGTAGCGTGGCGCTGGACGGCGGAAAATATATATATAATTATAATAAAGATACAATAAATTAAGTTAATATATATTTATATAAACAGTACCTAATTTATATATAATTTATATATAATACTATATTTACATTTATTGATTTTATATTTATCATTTTGAGTAGTAAGTAAGTAAGTAAGTAAGTAATTTTTATTGACGTAGAAGGCTTTCTCCTGTTACAAGGGCGTTTTATTTTGATGAAACGCATATTAACATCTCATATAATAATTTTTTAACAATATTAGTATTTACCATTTACTAATCTATATAATTATATTAATATTTTGTCATAATTATTATTCAGTTAGTTGTTTGACGTAGTTATATATCATATAAATCGTGTTAACATAAGCATTAATGTCTTGTACATTTCCAGCTCATTAGTACATTTAGCCAGTGGCCCAATCTGGAGCCTTTGTAGTTTGTTTTTTTCGTTACAATTTTCACATAAAATATGAATTTTAGATAAATTTTTGGTACAATTTGGACATTTAGATTGGGTATAATCTATATATTTGTCATTTATAATTATTCCATTTTTATTCAACCTAATCTGCATAAAAAACTTTTTAATGTTAAAAGCTATATTTGTCAATATATAGTTGTTATTTACTGGATAATTTAGAATTGTTGTATACCAGCTTGTATTTTCTCGTTTTTGTATATCTTCAACGTCTTGGATAATAGAGTATTCCATAACTCTGTATTATTTCTTTACTATACTGCTCCATATCATATGTATGATCCATAAACAGTTTAATAGAAAATCCATATTTATTTACTATCTTCGATAACTGAATTATCCAACTTTGTCTTAAGTCCGTTTCCCTTGATTTGTGATATAGTAAGAACAGCAATTTTGTTGTTATATCTTCAGCCTTAATAATTTTGAGTAAAAACTTTAAATATCTTTTAATTAGTATAGTATTTATTCTGAATCTATTTGTTTCTAATCTTAAAACACTACCCGGGATATTATATTCTAGCTGGAATATCTTACTTATAAATATGTTCTGTATTTTTCAGTCATTAAATTTTTCCATGCTCCAAATTGGGGCAGCATATCCCATTGAAAATGAGAAACCCTAATCATTACCTTATCCTGAGATATTAAACAAAATAGACACCAATACACAAAATTTTTTTGCTATTTTTTTTTTTACTTTTTTGGATTCAGAAGGTCTCAAAACAGAGATTTGCAAAAAAAGTTAAGTCAAATTTGACATGATTCCAATACTTTTCCTTATTATGCATACAAAACACCCAGAAAAGTAAAAAATGAACTTTTGTAAAAGAAGATTCATATACGATAGTCTGTTATTTAATTGGTAATTATTTTTCTTCTTTTTTTCATTCTTTTCCATTTATTTATTATTTTTTTAATTTCTCTGAAGTCAGTTCTGAGTATGATATTTATAACTGGCATTCATATTATAATTGTATAAGTTATCAATTTTTGAAATTCTTTTAAAAAAGTATTAATCAGTGGTGTAGCGTAGTGGGGGCGGCCCACCCCAGGCGGCACTTTTTAGGGGTGGCAAAATTTCACAATAAATAATAATATCTTGTAAAAATTTGAACCATTTTATTTTATATTTCCCTCGCACCTACAATTCAGAGAGTCCGGGAATCGACTCACCATCTGGGCGAACTATTAATATTACCCGGGGAAGTCGTGCGCGACCTGTCGACCTTTTCTTTTTTTTTTCTGTTTGTGCGATTTATTCGTGTTCATATAACCTCCAAAATCCAATAGAGCTAGATCATCTAGGTTACTTACGTTATTCCCACCCAAGTCTCATGCATAAAACCAGAAGTTCCTGACGCATGCATCAGGAACTTCTGTTCGAACAAACCTCACCTGCCGTCTGAGTCAGCGATTTTAAAAAGGTGGCAACACTAACACAGAATTTTTCATTACTTATTCTGTGAGGAAACTGAATTTTTAGTCTTTTAAATTGAGATACCTAAATAAAGGGACGGTGAAATTTTCCTTTGCCCCAGGCGGCTGACACCCACGTTACGCCATTGGTATTAATTGTACTAATCAGATACTATTTATTTATTTTTTACAATTTCTTTTCTGTTTAAAACTGAAAAACTAAACTTAAGATGAAAAAAACTTAGAAAAGTTGGGGCATAAGTCATGGCAACTACTTTTTTCACAAAAAAGTAGGATCAACACAAAACTTCAAAATATATAAATGGGAGAGGGCAGTGTATGGTACTATTCAAAATATGAACAATGCATGTTTAACAGAAGTAGATAGAAAAGTGTGCAAAAGTTATAAACAACAGTATCATGCTACATGCATTTATTAGTCACTAGACTACATTGACAGTATAAAAAACAAAACAGGCACATACTTATTGCCTTAAGAACCCTCAGAATAATTTTCCAGGGGTGCCCGTACATTAAGGAACGTGTCCCCCTTTGTTGTTGGGATTCTATAATGCTGATAAATATATTCAGATTTAAACTACACTTTCCAAGAATAAGAATGGAAAAAATGAAAGAGTAAAAGAATGAAAAACAAAAATAATTCCGTGCAATTATAAAGTAGAACATGATACATATTGAACATATATCAGAAGATTATCAAGTATATATAAATTGTTAAAATCTATTTGAAATTTCCAACACTTTTGCAAAAAGTTTAAAATTATAAAAAAAAAAAAAAAACATCACGTCAAATAATTGGTATTTGATTTTTTTTTTTTAAATTTGAAATTTTTTTTGAAAATTCAAACACTACACTTCAAAAAATTTTCAGTGGTTAGCTATGGTAGCAGAACAATACAAATTCAAGATCCAGCATATCAATTTCATTACAATCTGAAAAATACTACAGTAAGATATGTATTTATTTATTTTCAATTTTATATTAAACTGGATAAGATAAACCATATTTACAATAACTTTAACTTAAAATGATGTGCTCTTGTATTACTTAATCAAATAAATGACTAACTTAATTTCTGGAGAAATTGACAGATTCTATTGTTTTATTATAAAAAGAATTTATTCTAATGGCACTCTGTTATCTTCAATTTACATATCATTCAAAAATTCAAAATATTAAAATTTTTGATTTACCTCAATTGGAAATCTTGCAATTGTTCATTAATTTTATCAATATCAAATTCACTCCATAAAATATTGCTATAACCATCAATACCTTCCATAACTTCAGTATAAAGACCATATAACAGTTGAAGAAGAGATAATTCTTTTTTAATTCTATGTAATTCTGGATATTTTGTTATTGGTAAGCCAAATAATTCTTCTCCTCCACTGTATGTCTCAAATTTATTCCAGAGATCATCAAATTCACTCTAAGTAAGTTTTAAAATTTTTCAAATAAAAAAAATATTCAGCAAATAAATACTAAAAACATCATATAAAGAAAAAATTTCCTAATGACAAAGCACATTATTTTTATCAAATATTTGATTAAAATAACTTTTTCAATTATATTAAAGTTGTATGAAGGTGTTTCCATTGCAATATTAGTATATAAATATGATCACTATTTTCCAGATACACAACAAAATAAACATTAAATAAATATCTGTTTAAAATTTGTTTTATTACAAAATTTGGAAAACAGGCCTCATATTTACACACTATCATTTCTTAGTGTAATACATCAATGCTTTTTGGCATAAAGAATGTTGCAAAAATAAATACACACTTTGAATATCAATCATCACTACTGATGAAATTAATATTATATTCTTCATCTCATTAATAGTGATGGCTATAAGTACAAATTTTACTATATATATAGTAAAACTTCAAATGAAATGCCAACTTTTATCAAATGGTAAGCTCAAAATACAACAAAATTATAACACAGTATTTCTTCCTTTTTGAACAGTAAAAACTTACAACTTATTTAGACAAAACTAATATGTTTTAGTATATTAAAAAATTTTAATCTTTTTTCTCCTTATAAAAAATGAAACATTAAATTTATTTCAGATTTATATTTAAATAGAGATAATTTTTGAAAATTTACCTTAAACAGTAAAACTCTATCCCGTGCTTCCTTTGGAGGTATTCCTTCCACCATTGGTCCTCTCTTTAATAGATAAGAAAATTTTATAAATAAAAGTTCTTACACAATATCTCATAATGAAAATTATTTACAAATTGTGACAACAGTTAAATACTCATTAATAAATTTAAAAAAATAGATTTTTTTAAACAAAATCTGCTGTAGCTTGCATATGGATATACTGTTAAAATATACAAATACTTTTGTATTGTTACATTTTAGTTTTTTATTCTTACACTTACTTGTCTTTTCTGCTCTTCTATCAATATATCTCTTGCCATATGACCATCAAGTACTTAATGAAAATGAGTAAAAACACTTTGTTCTAATTTAATAAATAAACAAGAAAGAGAGAGACAGACAGACAGACAGACAAAGAGATTATAAAAAACAAAAACAAAAGTGTATGTTGATTAATTACCTTTGGCATCAAATTTGATGCCAAAGTTAAGGAATGATAAATTTATAGAGAATGTGGATTGCACAAAAATGTACAAAAATAGAACAGTGTTTCCTAACCTTTTTGGATTAGTGACACACTGAATTTAATAAGAATCTTGTAACACACCATAATTTTTATGATTGATTTAAAAAAATGTAAAATTTAAAATAAATTATGGTTGATTTAAAGAAACTGATAATATGAAAATTAAACTTATAAGACAAAAACTCACAATTTTACAAATACAGTACAGTAATACCCCGAACTTACACAATAGGTGGGACCGAGCGATAACCGCGTAAGTCGAATTCGCGTAAGTCGGGGTATAATTTCTCAATGTGTGTAAAATCCAAGTCGGATGTATGTAAGCTAATAAATGCTCTCGTTAATCTTATCTCATCTTTTGATTCGTTCATTGTTACAAGAAATCACCACATAGAGTCTCTTAAGTCTCCGTAGATATAACAAACACAGAAATAAATAACACAAAATAAATTGTAACTATGTGTCGATTCCGCGCAACATGTCCGAACATGTAAGTTGAACAATAGTGTGGAGGGAATGAGTAATCAAGAGTTGCGTGGTGCTCAAACAAAAGACGAATCAACGAGATTTGAAAATCGCGTAACTCCGGGTTCGCGTAAGTCGGGGTATCACTGTATATTATTTGAATCAATGAATAAAGTGCTAGTACTGGTCTTTAAGCTGGTAAACCCCAACTCTTTGGAGCTTTATAGAAATTCCAGAGAGTTCTTACACCATCATATGCAAAGATGCATGAAACTTTTGTGAGGGGAATATGCTGATGCTACAAATTTTGTAACAGTCGGCATTTTAGTGAATAACTTTTCCCTTTGGTTGACCAGCATAAATACATGGAATTTCAAAAATGAGCTTATTCAAAATTAAAAAACATTCAATATTTCTGTTACACACCCAATGCAAGAAACATTAAAATAGTAACATTTCCTGAGATTAACAAAAAATAATTTGGAATTATTTTTTACAGGAAGAGAATATTTTGAACAGTAAAAAAATCCAAACAAACATATCAAAGAGGAAATCAAATAAATTTTGTTAGGTGAAGTCAAAGTCCATAATTTGTCGTCACCTAGCAGAATTTCTGGTAGCTATTTTTTTTCTTTTCAATTGTCGATATTTGATTTGTAGAGTTTTTTCTATCCTATCTCTCTTTTTTCTTCTTTCATCAACTACCTTTAGATAAAACTATATATTATAATTATTGTTTAATAAAAATTAACTAATACTGAATTGATACTAATTTGATACAATACATCAGCATATTAGAATGTTCCTAATATATTTAAATCTTTCATTTTACAAACCAATGTTTGATCTTTTTTTGTTTTTAATAGTTTAAAGATCATAACCATACTGTAAAATTGCCAAATTGGGGATTATTAAATGTCAGGATTATTATATGTAGGATGAAGGAAAGTGAGGCAAATAGCTGCAGTGACAAACACCCATTTATTTACTAAGTCTTACAGTCTAGTGTGTCTTCTCTTCTGGAGGCACTGGACTGTTAGGTCATTGGCTCCAGACGGTCAGTCAATGCTCTGATGGTGTGGGAGGTCCAGTGACAAAGAGTGATAGCCCAAAGTTCAAACAGGATGGTGTCCACACGAGAGAGGCAGGGAAAAGTCTGGAAACTGACTACAGTTGGAAGCAGGGAAAAGTCTGGACAGTGTTTGTCACTATCCGAGGCTGAGAGAAATCTCCACAGTTAACTTCACCAGGGGAGGCAGGTAAAAGTCTGAAAGAAGTCTACCTTTGTCCAGGTTTTTAAAAGATTCTCTTCCTTGGATCTCTAGCTTTTGATTGGTTGGTTTCCTGTATCTAGGCAGATAACAGACCATTTCTGGCTACCAAAGGTTTAATTCAACACTGTGTTTTAATCTGATCAAGGAAAATTAATTGCACCTTGAAACTCCTGCTCGTATTTAATTGTTTCAAATTCTTAAAAATCTGATACATAATCTCAGTGCTGCATTTCCTTTTAAAGTTATTTAAAAACTTATTTCTATCTCTCAATTAATAATTTTATTATATCCAAATTTTATTTAAATTTTTTTTCTAATTTTTACGAGCATTAGAATCAAAGCCAAATCCCTTAATTTGACACTTTTATGATATTTTTAACATGTGAGCTCAAGTATCACTCAAGCTTCACAATACCATAATCTCAATACTTCAAAATGTTCCAGATATTATCAGGTTTGGTAACTTTTACAAATTGATGTTCCAATACTTTTCCCAATGGTAACTATTTAAGAAACAAAGAAAAACAAGCAATTGAAACATCAATTTGTAAAATGATTGCATTCTGATATTGGGAACATTCTGATACACTGATAAATTGGTAACAGTCCATTATCAGTCAGCATCTCCATTGTTTAGTAGTCTTTGTGGCAATAACTTCCTCAGTTCCACATTTGCATCTGTCTATAAATATATATATATATATTAGGCTCAAAGAACATAAAATGCAACTCAAAATGCTTGAAAATGCTCATTGAGCGAAAAAACATCCACAATGCATTATGGTTTCTTTAAATCATCCATAATGCGATATTCGTGTTGTGGCATTTGCAAAAACAGTCACAACGCATTGTGACTAACTCTAAAAGACCACAAAGTAAAATTTGCATTGTGGCTTTCACAATATTTGACCATTACATATTGCGGTGATTACAAAAAGCAATAACTAGCTGATGTAACTATGATACTTTGTTCTTTTAGCCTAACATTAATATCTGGAAGTAAGCAAGGAAAGCAAGGGTTTATAATGTGTCACTGTAACATATACTGTATTGATAAAAAAATGCAAATGTTGCTCAAAGAACATAAAATGCAACTCAAAATGTCATGGTTTAGTTCTTGTAAAAATAAATAACTCTGCAACATTCTTGACTCTCATAAAAAAACTGATTTATTAATAAAAGTTCCTAACAAAGTAATTGTTTTTAGTAAATTAGTTGATTGAAAATGTTGACATCTCGAACACTGCAACAGATTTTCACGAATGATTAAATGTTGTTGAAAAGTAACCAAGTTACATTTCTGTATATAGTTAATAATTTTGTTACCTACTTATATAAAATGATTATAGATAAAATCAACAAATGGTGGAATATCAGCACCGTAGTAATGTAACACCAACTCATATCTCTAAACCTTTTACTGGTGAGCGTATTATCTCACTCTATAACAGTTACAAACATTTTTGAACCGTTACAGTTCTTCTTCAAATACCGATCTCCTAACAGAATGCAGTTCAACGATGTTACAAAATACGATCCAGAACAATGTCCCGACCTGATGACGTCACTATGGACTTGCGTGTTTTGCATGGTGTGCTCTATCTTAGCGATTTATCTATTAGGGCCTGCCAGGCCGTTGATAGAGCAATTTTGTCCTTGTAGTTAATGCAATAACGTCCTTCACTCGTGTTTATGCATATGTATATTGCCTCCAGCCATCTGAGGTGGTTCATGCAGTGGGTGGTGTGAATGACCTTTGCATGCGAGAATACGAGTTCTATGTCAGGGTCCGACGAGTATATCACAAGAGCTGTGTTGGTTCTTTCATGGTTAATATCTGCTGTATGCTCTTTGATCTGGGTTATTAGAGGGTGTTTAGCTGATCCTATGTAGATCATGCATTCCGTTAGAAGATCGGTACCTGAAGAAGAACCATAATGGTTCGAAAATGTTCGTAACTGTTATACAGTGAGATAATACATGCACCTATAAAAGGTTTATAGATACAAGTTGGTGTTAAAGATGAAGATAGAATCATAATAAAAAATGTGAAATGTGAAAAAGAACAAATTTCCACTCATTCGGGGCAGTTCTAGACAATTTGTCAGGTGCCTAGCCTTGCTCTGTCACTCTCCTACTACTACTATCCAGCAACGTCACTAGAAGTAAAACTTCCTGCTCCTCCCTGCAGCAGAATCAAAGGGAATGTCCAAGAAAATAATAATAATCTGTTTGTAAACTCTCTCTCTTGGTTAATAAAAAAATATAAGTCTCATTTTTGTATTTTAATTTTTTCCATTTGTTTATTTTTATTAAAACTGATTTTGAATTTATTTAATGGCCTCCTACTTGTCTTCATATAATTGCCAACATCTCATCACGAGTCCATACACCCTCCCGCTCAAATCCTTTTAACTATTCTCGTGGGCCTAATGTGTTCTTTAGGCAGGGGTCACACAAAATTAAAGGAAAGCACATTCGACTTCCTATATCCCACCAAGAATGTGAGTATTTGAAGCCATCCACTGACAAGGTAAGCAGATCCTCCAGATCTGATGACAAGAAAGTAAAACCCACTTATCAAACTTGTGAACTTATCAAACAACAGGCAGCTGATCAAATACATCAACAGATACATCAACAGACAGAAACATTTAACATTAATAAAGATCACGTAACCTGTCAGGTCAATCCAGCAACAAGCATTGATAATAGTACACATACAACAAATACCATTAATGATACTATAGACACTTCCTCATCCACCACTGATAACATAAATATAGATTTAGTTAATACACTCTCACTTATATTTCAGGAAACACACACTAAATATACAGGCACAGATCACAGACACAAAGACCACGAATACCGAAAATCAACATGTCAAAGGTAGTATGAAAAACACTAAATTATGTAAACACTCACTTACTACCAAACTACATTCATTCAATTTCTACACTCTCAGATATTCATACATTAGTTTATGCTGGGGTAGTCACAGTAGTAACACACCATGGACTGAAAATACAATCGCAGACAAACACACACAAAACACAATTCTATCACACGCCTGCCTAACAGAGAAGAATAGAAACACAAATAAATGACATTAGACAGCAATTAAACAGGCTGACATGATACACTAAAAACAACATAACACCCAAATTAAAAAAACAACTCAAAAACATTTTCAAGAAAATCAAAACACACAAAACATGAACATCACAACACACACATTACAGAATACATCGATACACTAAAACAAAAACTCGCAGCCAAAGCACGTAGACTCAAACAATACAAAACATGTACATTACAAAAACAACAAAATAAATTATTCACAAACAACGAAAAACTTTTCTACAGACAAATCAGTACCTAAACAAACACTAATACACAGCACAGTGGCACACCAACAGAAGAAGAACTCACAAGTTATTGGTCTTCCCTTTGGTCCAATGATGTTACACACAACGCTAATGCAGGCTGGATCATAGAAAATAACAGAAACTTGCACAACATACCAACTATGCCCTGTACTGAAAGAAATGTAGACGACATTCACTACACTGTTAACAGAACACACAACTGGAAGACACATAATGTAGACAACATTCACAATTTCTCGTACAAAAAGTTTACATCACTGCACCAGCAACTAGCTAAACATCTAACACACATCATCATCAACCCACAAGACATGCCAAAATTTCTTACTCAGGGCATCACCTACATGAAACCTAAAAACACCACCACCACAGACCCCACACAATACAGACCAATTACATGTCTCCCAACACTCTATAAATTATTGACAGCATGTATCACAAACAAAATATACAAACATGTTGAAGAACATGACATTCTTACAGAACACCAAAAAGGTTGCTGTAGAAATCACAGGGGATGCAAAGAACAGTTACTCATAGATTCAGTCATTCTACAGCAAGCACACAAACAACACAGAAACAAACACATGGCATATATAGACCATATACAGAAAAGTATTCGACCGCATTCCACACAGTTGGCTGCTACATATTCTACACATGTACAAAATAAATCCGTCACTCATTGCATTCTTCCAAACCACTATGCAGCACTGGAGAACAACACTGCATCTCAGGGTTAGTAACACTTCCATACAAACATACCAAATATTCATTAGGCGAGGAATTTTTCAAGGAGATTTCTTCAGTCCTCTCTGGTTCTGCCTTGCCCTGAACCCATTATCTAACATGTTAAACAACACGCAATATGGCTACAATATCAGACACAAAAAAAACAGCACAGTTTATGCTGTCACATCTCATGTACATGGACGACATAAAACTTTATGCATCCACACAGAAACAACTTCATCAACTCCTACAAATCGCACATTCATACACCAAGGACATACAAATGGAGTTTGGCTTAGACAAATGCGAAACACTTCACATAGAAAAAGGAATCCTGAAGAACAAAGATTTTGCACTTGAAAATGGAAACATTATTGAATCCATGGGAGAAAGCAAGTTCTACAAGTATTTAGGATTCCAACAGGCCAAACTAACAGAACATACACAAATAAAGCAAAGATTAATTAAAGAATACCAAAGTAGGTTAAATGCTATCCTCAAAACACAGTTAAATGCAAAACACACAGTTAAAGCAATAAACACATATGTCGTCCCAGTACTCACATACTCTCTTGGAGTTATACATTGGACTCACACAGATCTCGAGCAACTCCAAAGGAAAACAAGAACAACACTTACTAAACATTAACAATATCATCCTAAATCTGCCATAGAAAGATTAACCCTTCCACGTAAAGATGGTGGACGTGGCCTGATTGACATAGTTAACCTTCACTACAAACAAATACAGTCACTGCGAGAGTTTTTCTACAGGAAACAAGAAACATCACAAGTACATAAAGCAGTAACTCTAGCAGATTCAAATAACACATCACTAAACTTACACTCACATCATACAGACATGACACAACATGTAAAAAGCATAGACACCACTAAGCAATGGTGCGCTCGAAACGCACTCCATGGCAGGCATCCTTATGACCTGGCCCAGGATTTTGTTGACAAAACTGCGTCAAACAGCTGGTTAGATCGGGGATGCCTCTTTGGGGAGATGGAAGGATTCATGATTGCCATACAGGATCAGATAAATACTAAAAACTACAGAAAACACATACTTAAAGATACAACACTCACAAATGACATATGCAGAAAATGTCACATTCTGCCAGAAACTATACAACACATCACTTCTGGTTGCAAGCTCTTGGCACAGACAGATTACTTACATAGACATAATCAAGTAGCAAATATAATACACCAAGAGCTTGCAAAGAAACACAAATTGGTAGACATCCACGAACCATACTACAAGTATATTCCACAAACAGTATTGGAAAACAACACGCAAAAAATGTACTACGACAGAGCCATAATCACAGATAAAAGAATTTACCACAACAGACCAGACATCACACTTATTGACAAACACAATAAAATCACATACATTATAGACATAGCCATTCCAAACACTCACAATGTACAAAACACATTCACTAAAAAAATTAGCAAGTACACAGAACTCGTTTAGGAAATAAGTCATTTGTGGAGGATGGTACCTGTTTGTACCTGTCGTTCTCTCCTGTACAGGTGTGATACCCCACACACTACACAAAAGCCTGGGAACATTACAATTGAATAGAAATACATACATCACACTACAGAAGATTACTATATTGAATACATGCCACATTGTTAGGAAATTTTTGAATACAGACACAGACACTGAAACACTTATTTAATTTTTGTTCTTGGTTGCTCTGCCTTGACTCTGGTCCTGCATAGTACACAGCCACCAGTATAACAATGAACCGAGTATAACCCACTAAACCCAATGTAATAATAATAATGCAGAACATTTTCATTAATTCAAACTTGGATATTAGTTTAGTTGTAGTTTAGTTTAGTTTAATTTAGCCCATTAGTTTATAACTGTACTTTTTTGTCCCAACTAGTGATATAGAGAAATCTGTATATCTCTAGTTGGGACAAAAAAGTAAGGACATGTTAAGGACATTGGTTAGTTCTAAATAAGGCTACTTTGTTAAGGTTGTAATTTGAAGTGAAAATTCTGTTTGAACTGTGATTAACTTGTTTGTTTAGATTAAAGTTCTTCCATGCTATCAGTAAACTATAGACCAAGAAAAACTTTAATCTGGTCAATATGACAGTTTTTACGGTAACACATTTTTGGGTGTCATTTTACATATGGACTGCCCCCCTTTTTTTTTCTTTTCATAAAATATGGCTGAGCTTTTTTCAGATAGAGATATTTGTAGGGCTTTAGGTTATTACATTTGGATGACTTACTACTTTTTGGGCCACTTTAAAGATAATTTGGGCAACATTTTGAGGAATTTCGCTTTACTTTTTATAAAAATTTATCTGGCAACCTGTGAGGTTTTCACTGGACACATGCTGTTTGTCTGCAGTTTATTTATATCATTATTAAGTATTATTAATGAATGAAAATATTATTTTGTACAAGTAGCCATATTTTGTTTGCTTAATAAATTAGATCAGTTACAAGGCATTTGGCACATCGCACAGTAATATGTAAATCTCAGATAATTTGAAGTTGTGAATATTTGTTCCCTGGTTTTCGAACTAACAAGGATTTCCTGTAATAATAAAATGTTATGTTTAATTAGAGTTGGGCTCGGTAGAGGTTATCTGCAGCCTAATGAAGATTTCTTGGAGAAATTCATTAACTTATGGGAAATTGAAACTTCACACATAAGATGATGGATTTTAATTTTTGACAAAAATTGCATCTTATATTGTGTGCTGTGTGGTAATTCATCTTATATGGTAAATTACCATTCACACACTATGAAATTCATATAGTAAACACATGAATAAAATAATTTAAATGCATTTGTACTTTTTACAGTTAATTGTAAGTGGTTGCACAGTTGTCTAGGCAATCATCTGGGAATACTTAAGGTGGAGCACAAATTTATGCTGAATTTCTTTTGGCATTTAACCTTTGCATAAAACAAGACCATACTGTAGTTGCAATTAATGATTTTTACATAACTATGAAATATAGTATATTCAAATATTTTTATTAAATAAATATTATTTAAAAATTTAGATATAATGCCCCCTTTAAGAAAAATATTCAGCATTGGGTTAATCAGTTAACAACTACGTATGATATAATTGAAAATTGGTTAAATGTACAAAATCTATGGATATATTTGGAAGCAGTATTTGTCGGAGGAGATATTGCCAAGCAATTACCTAAAGTAAGATTTATTTACATTCTAAAATTATTTTTTAATAAGAAAAAGTAATTTGTTTTTTTTTTCTATTACTTTTTCAACTTTGTAGTTGTGTATGGATAGACAAACAGAAAAATATTAATGAGCATTGAAGTTTTATTTCAGCTCTTGAAAGCTTTTTATTTATTTTTTTTCTACTAAATGTTGCACAACTGTGTATACTCAGATAATTGGGTGTTCACACTTGTGGTCAACCAATATTTTGTGGGTTTTAGAAGATTTAGTGTACATAAAAAATCATAAATGAGGAAATTAGTTTTAAACGTATAATAAATTTTTACTCATGCATTTATGTGTTTTAATTAATTGTTATTTTTAATCATTTATTATTTTCAATTTTTAAAGATAAATTTTACAGAACAAACTTTTCAAATTAAAATTAATACTTAAAAAAATGTTTAGATATGCTGTATAAAATATGATATTTTATTATATAAAAATAATTTCTAATATAAGTAATAGATATGTATTATCTCAGTGGTGCTGTTTTCTTTATATTCTTTTAAATGTCAATTTAAAAAAAATTATATCTTCAAAAAAATTGATGAAACATCGTAGGTTAGATCCGAAGAAGTTAACTGACATTTTTTTGTCTGGACCGCATTTTATCAGAGACAAAAACTTCTGAGTGTTATCTTTGTTATTCTTTATTCACTATGCATTTTCCTTCTTGTCAGAATAGTTTTCAAAACTCATATAAGTAATAGATATGTATTATATCAATGGTGCTGTTTTCTTTATATTCTTTTAAATGTCAATTTAAAAAAAATTATATCTTCAAAAAAATTGATGAAACATCGTAGGTTAGATCCGAAGAAGTTAACTGACATTTTTTTGTCTGGACTGCATTTTATCAGAGACAAAAACTTCTGAGTGTTATCTTTGTTATTCTTTATTCACTATGCATTTCAGGTGCAATATTTTGTGTACTTTGCACCTCTCATCAGGTGTTACATTTTTGTTTTATGTTTAGACATACAGCTATGCGGTGTTGATGTTGTATCCTCTAAGGCATTTTTAACTGTCTTAGACAGTTAAAAATGTTATAACTAATATAATCATAAATGCTTATTCAATAAAATATATAAATCAATGTAATAAAATTTAATATTAATTAATATTCTCTTTAGGAAGCAAAAAGATTCCAGAACATAGATAAATCTTGGGTAAAAATAATGACAAGAGCACACGAAACACCTAATGTTGTTGAATGTTGTACAGCAGATGAAGTTTTATCACAACTACTACTTCATTTATTAATGCAATTAGAACTTTGTCAGAAGTCATTAGTTGGGTAAATATTTTTAAATTTATTTAGTTTAGCAAATTTTGTAAAGAATAAAATTTTATTTAAAACTTTGGAATTAAGAGAGTCAAATTTTATAGAAGCAGCATTATATAGCCAGCATTATACATTTCAAATTTCTTTTGTTATTCAGCTTTTTTTTATTCTGTAAATATTTGATAATTTAAAAATAATTATCTAGAATTTTTCTAATATAAAATTAGGAAAATTCGATCATATCTAATTATAAATTTGTATGCTTAATAAGATAACTAAAAAATTTTAATTATTAAAAATAATAAAATTATATATAATAGTGTATATTTCCTATTTTTAGTTATCTCGAGAACAAGAGACGTTTGTTTCCTAGATTTTTCTTTGTTTCCGATCCTGCATTGCTAGAAATATTAGGTCAAGCAAGTGATTCACACACTATTCAAGTAATATAATTAATAAGAACTTATTTTACAGAAGTTTAAACAGTTAACTTTCTAATTTGTCTATGAAATCTTAAAAAGATAATTTAAAAATTAACATATTTAAATGTTTTAGTTTTATGAATTGTAGAATTTTTGATTCTTAAACTAGACTGATTACTCTCGTAACTTTTATTAGCATATAAATATATTTTACTCATTTATAATTTAATTTCCATATATATATAAGTTTGTATAACTAAAATATGCAGGGGTCATACTCGCTTTTGTATAGCAATTGCTAATCCATTTGCCAAACACTTTGTTTATTTGCCAAAATATTATTCATATAAAATTAATATATGTTTAATAGAAATGTTATTTATCAGGTTACTTTTTTGCTAACTGTAACTTTTTATACCTGTGGTCACCAGTTCGTGTGAAATTAATCATTACAAACAGGGCCACATACAATAAAAGATTAACATTTATTCTATATATGAATTAAGGCGCGACTGTACAGGTTAAAACACGGAACGATACTACATGCGTCTGCAAGGTCCAAATCCAACAAGGAATGTGTGATGTCATAGGTCAGGTTTGTACAGTTCAGGGGGTTCCCCCTTGTGGCGGCTTTGGAATTTAACGCCAAAGCTGTCGCCACAATACCAACCAGAAATGAAAAGGATGACTGATGACTGACAATATAAAAACAGAATTTTTAGGACTGAGTTTCTTAAGCAACTTTATTTTTGTTTATGAACAGTAAAATTGTATTGGAGCAAAACCAATTCAGATTCTGTAATTTGGTTTGGTCCTATTCTTTTTACTGAATGAGTTTTTTTGGGAGGGGATATTGCTCTCTGGCTGTTTATCACTAATTGCCAGATGATAAAAGCAATAGCCAGATGAATATCATTTTCACAAATTGTGAATTTTGCAACAGGCAGTGTGACTTTTGACATAGATCTGTCTTAAGTACTAATGACATAAAATGGAAAACAATTTTATATTTGATTTAAAATAAAACATTAGTAATAAAAGATATAATTCTGAAATAAGAGTACAGGATTGATTATAATTAATAGTAAGTATGCAGAGCTCTCTGTAGAAATAAATACAGTAGAGCATCGATTATTTGAATATCGATCAACCAAAACATCAGTTAACCAAAAGCATTCCAATTGGCAAATTCTAATTTCTGTTAGTGCTGTGGCGCTGCAATATTTGGCTATGTCTTGGGCTACTTTAATATTATTTTTGTTGGTGTCGTGTTTTAGCTGGCAGCACTGGCGCAACCATGAGAGGATAATTAAGGATGCACCAGTATTTGAATGAGGTTTTTTTCTCTTATTGTGAGTGGTGAGTTTTGCTTGTTTCATTTGGTGTTTTTCTGAAGACTGTGTGTCGTGCTGAATCAGAATTCGTTTCCATTGGGGACATTAATTTTGGATCTGTGAATTCCACACTTGTAACAGATTGTGCTGTGGTTGTTGTACCATTCGCAATGGTAACTAAATGTAAATGTGTTGTTCTCAGTGTTTCCAATAAACTTAAAATAATAGATCAGTTGAAGAGTGTTGCTAGTGGATCAAGCTTTGCCTGGGAATATGGAGTTGGAAATACCACAATATTGGACATTAAAAAGAACAGTGATGCCATTAAAAAAATTGTGAGTGTACTTGACAGTGAAAATAGAAGATTGCACAGAAAAACGATGAAAATGGCAGAAAACCAAGATTTGAACACTGCAGTGTACACATGGTTCATGCAGGTATGTAACAAGGACAATCAATAAGTGGCTCTTTGATTTGTGAAAAAGCTCTTGAAATGAACAAGAAACTAGGGGTAATGCTGATTTTAAAGCGACTACTGGCTGGCTTATGCATTTCAAATCTAGGCATGGAATTAGGGAATTGGACATCCAGGGTGAAAAACTTGGCTGATACAGATGTGAAAGTTCACGCAAAATTAAAATTACCACAAAGGCCAACAGGATATGGTAAAAATAATAAATGATATATTTTTACAATTAAAAAATTTTGCATGTATATACAGATTCTTCATTGGGAATTCCAATGTCATGATACATTACAATCGTATGCGAATTTACCACTAGGACAATAGTTCATTATATCCAAATGTGCAGTATTGATTCCAATCATGATAATATGAAGCCTGACCTTAAAACTAATCTTATATACTAACTTAACAATAATGGAAGAAAAGGATAGAAACAAGAGGACGAAGGACTAATATATACAATAGAAATAGGGATACCTGGGATTTTGTTGGCATATTTGCACTATGCGTGGTGTTGGGTGTGATACCACACGATATTCTCCAAAAATTTGACTCATCTTTTTCTTCTATACTTAACGTTTTTCCTTTCACTGTCGTCAATTCTCCCTTAAAACAGGACCCCTTCTCTTAACATATTTTCGAGATCTCCAGTCATTGCTAACGCAACTCGGAGCATTCTCTCTTCACGTCCATACATGTCGCAGTCCCGCAAGAAAATGCCTTATTTGTTGTCTGTTGTTCTCAGGGTTCTGTTCACTTCTTTGTTCCTCCATTTCTCAGAACTGGTCATCCCACCCAAGGGACAGGGATTAAGATAAGAAAGTTCTAGAAGGAAATAGAACAATAGGACAAAGGGTAGAAAGAAGAGACTAAACTAAACTTAAATTAATATGTACAAAAATATAGCGTACAGCTACACAGAATCAGCTGAACATTTGACAGAATCATTTAAAAACATGATTGATAAGGAGGGCTACAAAAAAATTAATGTCTACAGTGCAGACAAAACTAGTTTGTACTTGAAGAAAATGCCAACAAAAATCCTAGTTTCTAAGAATGAAATGTCAAGAAATGTTAAGGCAAGAAAATTACATATCACTGTTATGGTTTGCAGAAATGTTACCAGAATGCACTGGCTACCTTTGCTAATCATAGGAAAGTCTAAATATCCTTAATGCTTTAAAGGAATAAAAAAATTGCCAGTCACCTACAAAAATAAAAAAAATTTATGGATGGATACAACCATTTTCATAGAATGCTATGACACTGTATTTATCCCTGAAGTCAAAAAGCATCAGATTAAAACTGGGAATTCTGGAAATGTTTTGTTGTTGATTGACAACACTCCAACTCATCCCTCAAACATTTCACTAGAAAGAAAACAGAATGTTTAAAGTTGCTTTCTTGCCTACCAACATTACTTCAGTTCTCCAACCGATCTACCAGGGGGGTCGTTGAAAGCTTCAAATGATATTACAGAAAGGCATTGCAGTGTATGGTAATAATCAGGAAAGAATGTGAAAAAACAATTCAGCAAGTGTATGTTGTATGTTAACTTAAAGGATGCTATGTACATGGCAGCAGAAGCTTGGGCTACTGTCAGGGACACTATACTGGAAACAGCTTGGAATAAGCTCCTACAATCAGAGGAGTCTATCGCTGCACCTGAAGAGCCACCAAACCATGATGAAAATTCAACATGAAGCGACATGCAATGGAGAAAAATTTCAACATGGGATAGGTTAATATATTTTTGCGTACATGATCAGTTATTCGAAAAATCAGTTATCTGAACTGTTCAAATTTCAGGGACAAAGAACTAGACTTTATTGTTTTACTGTTGAGCTTTTATTTTTCACGTGTCTTCATTTACACACAAGACGAAAGGAAAAAGAGATGTCTGACACAAAGGGTTCTGGTTTTTATACATGGAGCCAGAGCGCCCTCTGTGGGGAAATATCCACACACAAATATCATAATTAAAAAACATTAAAATGATTTAAATTAAAACAGTAACAGCAATATTAATAGTAGTAGTAACAACAATAATGATAATAATCATCTTCTTTCTTTTTTGCCTTCTCAACATGAACAACCTCAGTCCGGAATTGTTTCATATAATCAATGCTCTACTGTATTGGAAAACTCTTGATCAAATTTAGTACAGATACTGTCCTGTGCTATGTATCGCAGCGCCATCTATGGCAGTTCAAATGTGTATATGTAGTAGCACGCCTGCGCACTGCAGAGTTCTGCACCGTTATGTACTTCAATAAAGACGTGTTGATTTAGCTGTTCATAGAATCCGTTTCAATCCTTTTCGTAATATAATTCCGACGTTAATACATACCAATTCTGGCGACGAGGTGGATCAAAGATAATATATTTCTACAATTTGATTCAAGAATACTGAAGTTTATTTATTTTTTTCTCGACCAATTCGACGAAGTCAACACTTGGCTATCTTCAGCTAGATTTACCTTCGACCCGTAAGTTACCAAATTGCTTATTATCATTGTTTTCTTTCCTTATTCGAAAATGGCAAATGCGATNCCTTTTCGTAATCTAATTCCGACGTTAATACATACCATCCTGTGTATACAGTTTTAATTTTCAAAAGAAAAGTTTTACTTTAAAATTCAGCCTCTTGGACAAAATTTGGCACTTCCATTCTCATAATGTGCATATTATTTATGTTTTCTAATGAATTTTGGGTGTAAAAGATGAAAAGTGTTAAATTAGTTTATAGCAGGTTGTAGACAAAGAAATAAGACACCCTTGTTAACAAAGGACAAGAAGTTTATTAAATAAAACAAAATACAGACAAAACAATCCATAAGACACAGTGGTGTGCCGTGACATTTGATGATAGGGAAGCTGTGTTTTTGTAAGAAGCCGACATCCAGGGGCAAGTCAATTGTGTGTCAGTGATGGTCTAGGGCAGGCATACGGTCCGTGGGCCAGATCTGGCCCGTCTAATGAATTTATGTGGCCTGCGATTAATCTTTCAATATTAGCTACTTAAGTCCAAATTGCTCGATGAAAAAATTCTGATGACTAAAAAAAAAAAAGGTCAACAACTCACTTTGCATTTAGAATTAATGCTCCATTACAAATGTCTTCAGCACAGCATAGAATGTTGATAATGCATGATAATGTGAAAAATGTATCTGTAATCTTTATGTACAATTTAGTCTCTACGGGGTGATACAACAACGAGATCTCGCACCACCTCAAAATCTTGTTAAGGCAGCCTCTGGTTTGGCCTGTGAATAAAGTTTTCTTTCCAATTCAGCCCGGGGGCAAAAACTGTTGGCAAAAACAGGGTCCATCAATCATAATATTAACATTATCGATTTTAAATTTTATAAAAAAGCCTTTGATGCAATGAACGAACATTTAGACAACTGTGTAAATGTTTAAAATATGTTTTTTATATTAAGGAAAAAACCTTTTAGAGGTTATGCTAAAACTTATCGTGCTCTTATTTTAGAAAATACTGATCCAACTGTCTTTTTTGAAAAAATAACATCTAGTATTTATAATATTTTAGTTAATGATAATTTTGTTCTTTAAAACCAAAGATGTATTCTTATACATTATCATCATCATAATATGGATTTTTAATAATATGCAAATGAAAACATACTTATGTAATACATAGTGTTTGTAATAAAACTTATCCATGTTTAAAACAACCATGTAATAAAGCAGCATCATTAAAACTGTCTAACAATAAAACATATCAATGTAAATTTTCTGTAATAAATGATAAAATATTTTACAAGATGTGATTGTATGAAATGTAATAAATAATTTTGTATCTGTTAATATATGTACTCAATTTAAATAATGTTTATCCATTTACATATATATTCAATTTGAATAATAATGTATTCTATTATGATATCCATATAATAAAATGTTATTAATATGAATAATGTATCCTAACAAAAATAACAATTTTGTTTCTTTATAGACAATACTCAACTGCTAATTGATTGGGGGAATTTTTCATTTTCATGATTAGAAGAAAATAATATTCGTCATTTAAGAAATTATATTGACTGGGATATCATCAGTCAATGAAACAATTTATCTCTCACATTCATTTCTGAATTCGCTGATAAGTTAAATTGGGAAATCCTATGGAAAAACTATATATTCGCTACTTCATTTATTGAAAAACANGATCAAGATTTCTATTGAAAAATTAATTTACTTATAATTTGATTGGAATAAAGTAACTGAATTTCAAAATATTTCAAATAATTATATTAAGCAATACATACATGTTTGATATAAAAAAGTTTTTAAATACCAACAATTAAAAACTACGACTTTAAGCGTATTAAATGATTATTTAAACAAGAATTATGTTTCTTGTTACCAAATACTTGGCCAGTAATTAATTGTTAAAATAAAATTAATTTAATTCAAATTTATAAAAACATTTAATAATTAATACTGCCTTATTGTTACAAGATATTTTATAAAAACTAAAGTGAAACAAAAAGTTTTCTAAATATTTATAATCTTAATTTAATTGAAAAATTTTTTATTTGAAAATAATTTATATCCTGAAAAATTATTAGGTGCAGAAATTTCTTGCTTTAGATAAACTGAAGGAAAAAGTGAAAACATTTAAACTGTAACGTAAAAAAAAAAATTGTTTCAAAATTATTTTAGTGTCATATTATTTCATACAATTATTGGATTTTAATTTTATTCGATATTAAAACATTTAATAATTAATACAAAAACTTTGCCCTATTGTTAAAATAAAATTAATTTAATTTAAATTTAATAATTAATACAGCCTTATTGTTAAAATAAAATTAAAATTTGTGATCGAAAAATTAATTTTGTGATCTGAAATAATTCTATTCAACAAATTTTTATTTGCAGTTTTAATTTAATTGACATCTGAAATTAATTTTGTGATCAGTATGTGTCAAACCACTACTACTACTAGTGAAACTTTCAAAATAAAAAGTACATAATAGTAAAATTGATAATAACAAGATACTTATTCTGATTGCTTTTTGTTCATTTTCTTATTTTGTATGTTTTGTGCTATCTCAATTTTTTCAAAGACAGATTTATCTTATTGGATTAAACACAGAGAGACAATTTGCAGAATAATTCTATGTATTTATTTTATGACATAAGTTTTGAACATAACAGGTTCCTCTTCAGTCTTAACACATAGATCCTTTTTTTAAGATTTGTAGGCATAGGCATACACATTATTAATTTTATAATAAAAAAGTTTACAACATATATACATACATATGTGACAAAACTTTACCAAATAAGAACATTTTAATCAGGACATGAACTTAAATGAAAATTTCTACAATTGTGAATACAACCTTCAGAAAAATTGATGAAACTGTAATGAATTCACACTACAATCATACTTTAAGAAAAACATTGTTAGTAAATTTTATTACACATCTACATTGCCTTTGCCTTTGGGTATGTTTCTCTAGCCAATGAAAATACAGGTTTACAAATACATGAGTCTTGAGAGGGATTCCTAACCTGTAGAGAGAAAAAATAAACAAATTATCACATACTTGTGAGACATAGGTACTATGTATATATGCAACTGTCTTTATATATACCTGCTGTCTCTATTAAGATAATGATTTTAACCAATAATAAGGGTCTCTTCTATTATTTAGGAAGTTAAATAACTAAATAAAAAAATACTTGATTTATTAATTTTATGTTTTTGATATCTTTTATATTACATTTGTTCATGCCTGAAGATGGCCTTTAACTAGGTTGAAAATATATTTTCAACCTAGTAAACAGACCATTTTCAGACCTTTTTTCTAGTTAACAGATATTTTCAACCTAGTTAACTAGGTTGAAAATATATTTAATAAAATATATTTTCAGACCATTTTCAGGTTAATATTGATACATACTATTTTTTCAACCTTCTGTTAAAGGTATATTGATTACTTTATTAAAAAAGGATTGAAATAATGCATAAAAACTGCATTTCTAATGATTTGAAATATAATTAACTCTATATGACATTATATTCAATTATAAATATAATTGAAATATAACGTCAATGCATTTATATTACACAAGTTCTAGGAAAATTAGAATCATTAACATATTGAGAAAATTCATATTTATATTTAAGAAAAATTATATTGAAAATGTAATTATTGTTTTAAATTGTTCTATTGAATTTAATTATTTACTATATTTTAGAATCATCTTCTCAGTATATTTGATAACATAAGTTCAGTAAAGTTTTCTCAAAAGGAATATGATTGCATAGAAGCTGTAAATTCTCAAGAAGGAGAACAGATTTTGGTTTGTATTTTGTTCATTAATTATTGATTAAAGTGTATGTGTTCTAATTTGTAATTCTGTCTAAACAGTTGCAAAAATATGTAATGGCTAAAGGTAATGTAGAAGTTTGGTTGGCAAATTTAATGAATGAACAGCAGCAGTCTCTTAATAAAATTATACTCCAAGCTTATAATGATCTGAATGCTGAGGAATTTGATTTGATTGATTTTATGAATAAATATATTGCTCAGGTTAGTATATTTAAAATTATAAAAGCTAAGTTTAATTTTTGTTGAAATATACATAAATTTTCATATATGAATAATTTTATGAGAAGAAAGAATTCATTTAAAGAAAAATATACATGTAATTTAAAAAAAAATTTTTTAATAATAAATTTATCAATTAATTGCCATTTTCTTCAAAACAGTTCTTTTCTTCTATACCAATTCATACAATGTTTCCACTTTTGGAAATATTTTTTTGGAAGTTTTCTGTTTTTACCTTTTTTAAAAGCCCCTGTTTTCTGCTTCACCTTCTCAATATACAATCGACCCCCCTATAAGATCATAGATACGTTCCATTTTTTAGGAATCCGATTTCTTACGAGTCGTTTTAATCACAGCTTGACATGTGTAAAGTTTATGGACTATGGCTGATTGAAAGGTTTTCTTCCATAAAATTAATCGATTCTAGACTAATCCGACTCAACATTTCCAAAATACGTATATATTTTTTGGAAATAATCCGTATAAACTACGCTATAAACAAAATTGTAGGATTACTTACCATTTGACGTCGCCATTGCTAAAGCTTGTTTTCGTCGCGAAGCAGCACACCAAACCACGACNTCGTGTATAGCCGCCTTTAGACTTACAATACCTGATTTACATACTGTACAGACGATAGTTCGCCTAAACTCTCCATAGCATTGCGGTAGACGGCGGAAAATCTATATATATAAAATTGCTTGTCCTGACTGACTCATTCACTCACTGATTCATCATCGCCCAGAGCAAAGCGCTGAACCTAAAGTGGTGAAATTTGGTACACAGTTAGGGTACGTCATGAAAACGCACACTAAGAAGGGATTTTTCATAATCCTCCTGCGAAAGACAGAAGGAGAGGATTAAGGCTTAACCGGAAAAACGGCTTCTACTGTACTATTTTAAATACGATTTTTTGTTTCTGGTGGTGATAACTTAATTTCCAAATGTGCGATATTTACGTATTACGATTTCTTAATTAAATGTTCGAATCGTTTTAAATTCGAATTTGTTACTGTATATTTGTTCGATTATAGAATTATTGCAGACGTTATAGAAAATTGGTCAGATTGAAAACGTTCGATTGAATTAGAAGATTCCTTGTAATAAGGGGTACGTTTAACACAATAATTTTATAGATTTGGATTGTTATAAATTACATAATAACTATGGTTGTTAAAATAATAAATATAAATGGTCTTATGACGCTCCACACCATTCGAGAAATGTTAAACGTTTTAGTTGGGAACGCCATGGCAATGCACACTAAAAAGGGATTTTTCGAAATTTCCCAGCAGGGGAGAGGGAGAGCATTAAGGCTTAACAGGAATAATGGCTTGTACTGTAGTATATCATATACGATTTTTTGTTACGATTAGTCTTCATTAAGTACTTAGGTGTATTAAATTATAACATTTCAGACATTGTTATAAATATTTTTATATATTTCGATTTTTTNACTAAGTTAAAATAAGTTAATATATAATTATATATACAGTACCTAATTTATATATAATTAATATATAATTATATGTACAGTACCTAATTTATATATAATTTATATAATACTGTCCAGACGATAGAAATCTCTCCGTAGCGTGGCGCTACGGATGGCGGGAAAGTAGTTCGGCTGCCCAATGACGTTTAACGTAATTTTAGGGGGTTTTTACTATTTTTTACGGATACCGTCACAATTTTTTCGCAGTTTTATAAGAATCGTAATTATTAGGATTGTAATTATAGGGGGGTTGACTGTATTGGAAATGGATTCTTTTGAGCTGAGTTTTTGTTTTAAAAAATAAATTAAAAGTTGAGTGATGCTAAAGCCAATTAATAAGGTGGATATTTCAAATGTACTGACCAAAAACTACTTGATCAAAAACAATTTGTGGACAGGATTCAACTATTTGTCCAGAATCCTGATAATGTTTAAAGAAATATTTTTTACTATTTCTAAAATTTCTTTGTAATAATTCAGATTAACAATCAGAATTGGATGAATTCATTCTATTGAAATCACATTCCTAATTGAAAAAAATAGTGGCATGTATTAAGATCTCCATAGGCCAAAGACTGTGGATTTTTTTTAGACAAATAACTAACAAATCAGCTTACAATCTGACTAATACCTTTAATGAAAACGCAATGGTTATTGACAAAAGAATACATATGGAGTCAACTCTAACAAATCATGACTCTAGCATTACGAAAGTTCCTTCCACTCTTCCTACTACTGATTTGTTTATACGTTACACATGGTAATGGCATGACAACATGTAACAAGACAAAATTAAGAAAATGTTAGATTAGGTATTGCTTGTTGGAGAGATTAGTAAAAAGGCAGTTGGATTAGCGTAACCGGTTGTGTAACAAAGGAGCAAAGAGTGCACAAAGATTACACACAGTCTTTACTCATGGAAGGTCAGTGCTAGAAAGGGGAGAGTGAAATGAGGTCACCTTTCCCGAGGGGTCAAGAGCGCCACCAACCTTTTATTACGTCAGAAGAACATCTACAAAACATTGCAATCATTGATTCCAACAGAAAATACAACACAAGGAGGAACAAACATTTACTGAGATTACTCATGACACCTTCATAAACCTGGTAAGGAACAATCAATTCATCGATGTTACATGAACCCTAATACACCCATGTGATACTTCTGTTGGTTCTTTCTCCCTTCGATTATAGTCCTTGTCAAAATTACATTTACATCACCTCGATGGAAACGGATTGCCTCCTTTAAAAAATAGTCTTATGATTCTAGTTTTTCTTGTCGTCTTCAAAGATGTATCTTGTTGTCCCTCGTTGGGTAAGTGTCCTCTACAATCTCCGCAGAAGAAGAATAAGAATACCTTTCACACAAAGTCTCTCCATTTATATCTCCTGCTACCAGAAGTCTAGCTCTTTCACATGATGTGTCTGTGAGCCAATTTTGTGATTTCTTCTACACGATCCAGGAAAGGGCAGCATGGGATGAAAAGGAAAAGTGCATAAATAAAATAAAAACCCAGTACAAAAGTAAGATACACTGGATACATAATGTATACACATATACATGAAAAAAATATATATCTACACAACTAAGTAGCAAAGCACTACACTTAATTTTAATTTTTGGCATGTTTGTTCAATCTTTTTTTCTTATCAGAGAAGACAATGCCTTCTAATGCCTAGATTATTTTTTTAGTTTTTGATTCAAAATGACACATCTAAGATTTTTAATAATTAAATGTTTTAAGACATTTTTATTAACAAAAATGTCATCACAAATTATGATATGATATTGCTTTTTTTGATAACTTTCACACATTGTCTTCATATTGTATTTAACTTTTTTCTTAAAAGTCAAATTCATTCTTTATTAATACCAATCAAATCAGTTATTATCCGAATATTTAATTGTCAGACTTTTAAATGATTTTATTCACTTTTTTCTCATTTTTGTACATGTTTGATGTAGACATTTAGTCACAGTGTTTGCCACTTTTCTTTTTTTCACTGAACCATTTATATTAATATTATTAAATACTCTTATAGGTAACATAAGAATCTACAGAAGCCTTTTGTAATAGACAAAAAGTTTCAGTAGTGGAGGAAAAGATGGTAATATGGAACTCTGTTGACACTATGGAACCCTCCAGTATTTGAAGAGCAATCTACTGTACTCTAGTAGCGATAACTAGAGCTATGTTTGTTAGGTTGCCTGAAGGGTCATAGAAGGACTCAGGTTGCTAATTTTATATTAGTGATTGAGGAAGAAGTGTTTTTTGTCTTTTATCTTTTTTGAAATGTTTGAAAAGTATATAAATTTTTTTTTTAATTGGTCATGCTTAACAGATTATTTATAGAACCAGACACATTATCTCTAATCTCATATGTATGTATCTCTAACTGCTTTATGTGTTTAAACTTATTTAGTCCTGTTTGCTTTGTTGTAGGATTTACTGTTTTTCAAAATAGAAATGTTTGTAATATCATATGGTGCTGGTAATATGAATTCGGGTTTGGCAAGATAAAATAAAATGGCTTTTCAATTAGCAGCAATTAGAGGATTTGATCCCGGGATCTCGAAAATCGGGATCCCGGGATCCCGACCACTTTTCAGTCCCAAAATTTTCGGGATTAAGTTTTCCTAATCCCGAGATTTTAGGGATTGACATCATTTTAAAAAAAGTTGCAAAATAGACTGCATGAAGCGAAACGTTCAGTGCCAGTGCTTTTAACAGAATTGCTTGCCTATCATTTTAATATAAAATACAAGAAATTTTATTCCAAGCAAGCAGCAGAAATTAACCTAGCGGGCTTGCGAT